ATGTGACCCTGGACCACAAAACCAGTCATAAGGGTCAATTTTTCGAAATTGAGATTTATACATCATTTGAAAGTTGTGAGCTTTCCATGGATGTATGGTTTGTTATGATAGGACAATATTTGGCCGAGATACAACTATTTGAAAATCTGGAATCTGAGGGTGCAAAAAAAAAAAAAAAAATTTGAGAAAATCACCTTTGAAGTTGTCCAAATGAAGTTCTTAGCAGTGCATATTACTAATCAAAAATTAAGTTTTGATATATTTACGGTAGGAAATGTACATAATATCTTCATGGAACATGATCTTTACTTAATATCCTAATTATTTTTGGCATATAAGAAAAATCAATAATTTTGACCCATACAGTGTATTACTGGCTATTGCTACAAATATACCCCAGCGACTTAAGACTGGTTTTGGGGTCCAGGGTCACATATTGGCTGTTTATTAGTGTTTATAAAGCACATATTCTGCATGACCATATTCTACATCCCTAATCCTACCCAATACCTAAACTTAACAACTGCCTTACTATGAATAAGCAGCAAATTAGGAGTTTATTGAGGCAAAAGTCATAGTTAATGTTTGTTAATAGCGAGAATTGGACCTTAAATTAAAGTGTGACTGATTTAATTTTTATGTTTTTGAAAGAGGTCTCTTATGCTCACCAAGGGTGCATTTATTTTATAAAAGTACAGTTAGTAATCTTGTGAAATATTATTACAATTTAAAACAATTGCTTGTTTTATTAATATCTTTTAAAATGCAATTTATTTTTGTGATGGCAAAGCTGAATTTCCAGCAACCATTACTCCAGTCTTCAGTGTCACATGATCCTTCAGAAATTATTCTAATATGCTGATTTGGTGCTAAAAAAAAATTCTTTTTTTAATGCTTGTGCTGCTTAATAGTTTTGATTGTCACTTTAATGTCAATTAATTTCTTTAAAACAAAAAAAAAAACCTAACTGACCCCAATCAGTATGGTCAACATAACCGTTTCTTTTAGTAATGGCAAATCAGAAAGTGAACAGGAGGAAAACAGCTATATTAAACAATAACAGTTCCAGTTTATTGTATTATATTATTGGCTTTTAAGACAAAGTGGTGATGTGAGTACAGGTGCTCAGCTTGTCCCTATTGCAATTAAACTGTTGTCTCAAACTGTATTAAAGCAGCACTATGTAACTTTTTCGGTGTTCAAAATGTGCAAAATGTATATAATGAGCGAGTACATCATGAATTCATCTTCCAAACCGCATTTTTGTCTTATTCCGAATCACTACGGTACACTTATAAGAAGTACTTATATTTGGACTATGGTCGGGTCGTCACCGCTGCGGAGTAACACATACCTGCGTGAATCGCCATAGACATAAACTTAGAGAAGTAGCTCCGGTTGGAATGTTCTTCCGCGGGATGGGTGCAGTTCTGTTTATTAACCGCTAGAGCGCCAAAAGTTACATTGTGCTGTTTTAAATGGGCTGAGACGACAACAAAAAATTTTTTCCAGTTCTCTTTCCATTTAATCTAAAACATGCAGTACGGTAGCGAGAAACCAATTTCAACAATTTGAATGACACACAATACTTTGTATAATCTGTAAACAATGCAGTGGATCTCCAAAGGAATGTGAGACATTAAGTTTCCACAAGGAAATACTGACAGATGGGAATGTTGTGTTGGAACGTTGACAGACACACCAACAGACAGTGTGCAGGTCCACTCAAGACGGAAAATACAATCTCTGAAGTTGTAAGATAAACACACACAGAGTGGTAGAACATCCCGTTCCGTAAGCTAACCTCAACAAAAAGTGTCCAGGTGAGGTAATCACTTTAATATCACAGTTGTGTCTCAACAACAACATGACATCAGTGGCCCTGACACTTACAATCTGCTTATACACCAAAAGAAATTCCACCACAGTTTGAGAGATCAACCATCAGATTTGTTCTTCATGCACATAAGCTGATATGATCACTATGAAGCTGAACTCCACGGTGCCTGCTATGGTGTGGAAAGAGCTGAGGTCGGAGGTCATTCTGCTGTGTACCAACACAAAAGCTCACAAAACTATTTATTTAAAGAAAAAAAATCAGGGTAATAATAGTCGTTGATCCAGATAAAGATGGTTAACCTCTCAAACCTATTCTAAACTTGCACACAATTGGCTAACCTTGAAACTGAACCATATGACTAACAATGCAAACAGGTCAGTTACTGATGGGTTACCTTAAAAACCAAGTGTGAACAAACTGTTCCATCAACATGTGTATATAACTTATCAATTACACCTGTTAGCTTGTTGTGTCTTTGTAACCGTGGCTAGTTTTCTCATCAATAAAATACAATCTTTGTGGGGTTTAACTGTTCTCAATGTCTTAGGCGGTTAGTTAAGTGCAAAACAAATGTTTGTCACAAACTACTACCTTATTTCTGAGAAAGCCAATATGTTAACTGTTTAGTAGTAAAACTTCTGCTGACTGAACTGTTTAAGAAGTGATAGCATTCTGCAAAAATCAACAGGACATACTGTATGAGTCATGGAAATATCATACTCCACAAGTATCATCAAGATTAGAAGACCACAGGAAATTAAAAAAAGGCAGTCTGCCTGTAGTTTGGCAGTTAGACCACCTTTCAGAAATGAATGAGGTATGGGTTAAACTACAGAAAAAAAAAAAAAGTAAATAAGCACTATTTACATAACAGTGGAAACCCAAAGAAAAATGTACAAGGAAAAACAACAAAAAGCACATTCCAGTTTGATAGTGTTATCATATTTGTAGATAAAAAAAAAATGAGAAGTGAACTTAGCATATATTCTTAAAAGAATAATCATGGCTGTGCGCCCTTAAAATGATAGTTTCTTCTCATTTGTTGCTCCTCAAGTCTGTTTGGGTTCAGTATCAGTGTGTTTTGACTCTGGTGGAGCTTCTGTGGATCTGCAGAACCACATGTGCAAAAAAAAAAAAAAAGCTTGTCGACAATTCTGCAAAAATCAACAGGACATACTGTATGAGTCATGGAAATATCATACTCCACAAGTATCATCAAGATTAGAAGACCACAGGAAATTAAAAAAAGGCAGTCTGCCTGTAGTTTGGCAGTTAGACCACCTTTCAGAAATGAATGAGGTATGGGTTAAACTACAGAAAAAAAAAAAAAATTAAATAAGCACTATTTACATAACAGTGGAAACCCAAAGAAAAATGTACAAGGAAAAACAACAAAAAGCACATTCCAGTTTGATAGTGTTATCATATTTGTAGATAAAAAAAAAATGAGAAGTGAACTTAGCATATATTCTTAAAAGAATAATCATGGCTGTGCGCCCTTAAAATGATAGTTTCTTCTCATTTGTTGCTCCTCAAGTCTGTTTGGGTTCAGTATCAGTGTGTTTTGACTCTGGTGGAGCTTCTGTGGATCTGCAGAACCACATGTGCAAAAAAAAAAAAAAGAGCTTGTCGACAAAATAAGCTGGAGTTTTTCCACTTCGCTCTTTATCTCTCCGACAGCACAAGAGCACACTCATCCCAGAACTAATATCCTGTTGTGCGCCTCCCTCCATCAGCGTGTCCCTACACGTGATCCTCCGGGCTCAGGCATGTTCTGTGCATCCATCAGTGTGAGGGAGGGGTCGCGTCCTGCAGCATGTCTCCAAAGATCTCAATGAGGTTGTCCAGACCCCACAGGTACCCGTCCTCCTGGTTTCCCTCAGCCCAGGGTGTGCGGTGGTCCAGGGTTTGGGGTGGTGGCAGTGGGACGGTCTTACCAAAGTCAATCATCCATACTCGGGCCAGGCCTGAAGCATCGTGAACGAACAGCAAAGAACTCCCAACCACCTGATGAGAAACGGAAGGGTTTCTTAAATGTGTAAATTTACAGGGCAAAGTTCTGAGCTTATGAAATATGACTTCTTGTGTTCCAGAGATGAAAATATTTTGGCCCGGGCAGGAAAAAGATTTCACAATATGGAAAGAACAGATTCCTCACCTCGTGTGTCCTGAAGAACTCTGACTTCTCTAGAGCGCTGCGCAGCTCCTCCAGCCTCAGCAGATAACTCCTCTGAAGAAAAAAACAACAACAAAAAAAAAAAACAGTTCAAGACATCTGTAATTACCCATTGCCAGTTTCTGGATTCTGATTGGCTAATACAGTGTTCCAGTGCTGCTAAAATACAAAATAAAAAACTATTGCAAGAAAAAACCCGGGTTAGTTACATATAAATATATACCGTAAATTAGAGCCTGAAACGCCTACTATGGAAGAATTATAATCGATAATAGACATCATACAGTCATTATATAGATCAGTGGTTATGAGAGATATTTTTGTAATGGAGAAAATGACTTTTAAAAACTGCAAATATATAAATTTGAACAAAGCTCAAGAAAAATGAATGATGATATTACTTCTAATGATCCCCACTCTTGTTAAAGAAAAGTGAATAATGTAATTTTCACCTCATCATTTGTTTGATTTTTGTTTCATGTATTTACATTTACATTTAGTCATTTAGCAGACGCTTTTATCCAAAGCGACTTACAAACGAGGACAATGGAAGCAATCAAAATCAACAAAAGAGCAATGATATGCAAGTGCTATAACAAGTCTCAGTTAGCTTAACGCAGTACACGTAGCAAGGGTTTTTTAAAAATTATAATAAATAAATAGAAAAAGAATAGAGCAAGCTAGTGTTTGTATTTGTATAATAATTTGTATAATGTATTTGTTTTATGTTTACAAAAAATAAGTATGTAAGGTACAATAATGGACTAGAAATTATAGCAAACGAATATGGTAAATAAAATAAAATAATAAAAATATGTGTCCAGTGAAAAGGTGGCAATTTAATGAATTTACTTAACTACAGTAATAACTACAGTAATAATGTAACAGGGCCTCTTTATGAATATGAATATACTTCCCCCATTAGCTATAAAATAACATACAAATATTTACTATATTTGTCCAGTGAAAAGGTGGTAATTTAACTAATTCGCTTAATAAAAAAACATTTTAATGGCAATTGTTGTGTTCTTTTTTTGTGCTTTTTAAAAAATACAGTAACACCTGTTATCAATAACTACAGTAATAATGTAACAGGGCCTCTTTAATTTATTTCTTAATTTGACAAAGTCACTGGAGGTCAGAACATCACTTCAGAGAAGTCAACAACGTCTGTTTTTTCACAAGTATGATTATCAAATAAAACAAGCAAGTCAATGGCTAAAGTGAAAGCTCCAGTGCAGAGTTAAAACAGTCACATACCAGCAACTGTGTGTTTCCATCCACAAAGTCACTCAAGGCCTTCATCACCTGCTCCTTATGTTTGGTTTTTTTAAAGCTGGTGTTGCATGTGCCATCTGCTTTCTAAACAGAAACACAGTGTGAACAGTTCATGCTAATGCTACTTATTTTTAATATTAACAAAAAAGTGCAAATGTCAGCTCTATAAATAACAAACATGCATCGGGAAAGTAGCTATGACGTAGATTTGCATGTTTTAGTGGTTTTCTAATCACATCCATAAAAAGATTTTGTTTTATTACTAATGTTATCTGTATCTTTAATACTATATTTAAAACTGATTTGTATTTTAATATATTTTTTATTATATTTCATATTATATTATATTTCATTATTCCCGTGATGCAAAGCTGAATTTTCCAGCATCATTACTCCAGTCTTCAGTGTCAGAAATCATTCTAATATGCTGATTTGGTGCACAAAAGAAGCCTCTCTTATTATTATCAATATTAAGATCTTTATGGAAACCATTACACATTTTTTTTTTAGATAGTTAAAAAATTCAGTCACTTTTGATCAATGTAATGTACCCTTGCTGAATAAATCCCATGTGATCTCTCACCTTGATGCCCTCGATGCGGAAGCCAAGAGAGGCGGTTGAGCTCAGCGTTTCCCTCCACTGCATGTATCGAGGTTTGAGAACCGCCTGCTGGGCTCTTTCCTCCGGACTAGGCGCTCCTGGGTCCACAGCCACCATTTTCTCATACATATCCTTCCTAAGACGAGGACGCTCACGGGCCTTTACCAGCTCTTCTTCCAGGTATGTCCTGTGGTACAAAAATTGACCCAATTGATCACACCACAGCCCTCACACATAATGTCACAGTTTATGACATTAACCGCATCCTGCCACATTCTGCATTTTTTTTCTTTACTAGCTATACATTTAGTTTGCTTGGTTAGGGGGGTTTTGGAGTTTGAAAAATAACTCAGAACATATCTATCTTCTCACCTGCTTCCCATCTTGCAATCCATGATTGAAGGGGAGTCAAAGTCGGTCAGCAGATCATCCATTAGGTTGTAATCCTGGTTGTTCTGCTGCACAATACCATAGTAACCAGGAACAAACGGCCGGAGGTTGCCATTCATCAGCTTCTCGAGACACTGCTGCTCGCATTCACAATACCTCTTCAATAGTTTCCCATACTCGCCTGCTTGGAAATTACCTGCACACAAAGAGGCAAAGAAAGTGTTCATTTCATCAGTCCAAAATGATGGGCAGCAATCTGTTCAGATGCAGCTTTTTCATCAATACAGGAGTCAAACGAGAATTTGTTTTTACCTGCATGGCCTGCCAGCTGAACCCAAGGATATGTTTTCTTAAATGAAACCACAAATGGAGAGCAATGCACCATAGTCTTTAACTTCCTCCACGATTTAGCCTGAAATCAAAAAACGCATATGCACAGATCAGACCAACATGCTGCATTTTCTTTCATTTATGAATCATCGAAACAGGCTAAATACTTAAAGCCTAGGGCTGCACGATTATGACAAAAATCATAATTGTCGATTATAAAAATATGAATGGTATTATAATGTTATACTAAAACTAAAACAATGGAAAAACCCTTAAGATAACACGTAGAAAGAAAAAAAAAACATATCTTAAGCGTGCAGAATAACATAAGTGGACTTTGCACGATTAATTGCCGCTTTGAACGATTACGTAATTGTGGCATCCATAATTGTCACTGCGATTAGAAATTCGATTAATAGTGCAGCCCTAGAAGCCGATACGGAATTGTGAAACAAGCCACATCTGTTTTCTTTAAACAAACATTTAGTGTCTAGACCAGAGTTGGGGAAAGTTACTTTTAAAAGTAATGCATTACAATATTGCGTTACTCCCTAAAAAAAGTAACTAATTACGTTACTTAGTTACTTTCTATTGAAAGTAATGCGTTACGCGACTTTTGATTTACTTTTTAAATCTGGGCAGGGTCTGCTTGTTTGTTTTTAATATAAAAAAGTTCTTCTTTTACAAATGTAAAAGCGCTTTTACACCAAATGTGAAATGAATACACCTCAGGCTGAAGGAAATGTAAATTCACGTCTGTACAGTAGAGGGCGCAGCTCAAACATGAAGAATATGACGCAGGAGAAGAAAGTTGAAAACTATTCAGCAGTAACAAAAATGAAACACAAACGTGTTATTTTTGCTCCTTTTATTATTGCTTGGACAAAATGCTGCATGTTTCTTTGTGAAATTGAAATATAACACTATAACAATATACTATTATAGCACTTGCATATTATTGCGCTTTTGTTGGTTTTGATTACTTCTATTGTCCTCATTTGTAAGACGCTTTGCATAAAAGCGTTTGCTAAATGACAAAATTTAAATAAAATGTAAATGTAAATAACAAAACTAAATTGAAATTTTAAAACAAGCCCCAAATCAAATAAATAAGTAACACAAATAAAA